TCAAATGTAACAAAGTTGCGCCTTTATGACCTTAACATTTTCCACTCTTCAAAACTTCTGGCTTCTGTGATCATCCCATAACAAGGTGTAAGGTCAAAGGTCAAGGTAAACGTAAAAATTTAATTGTGAGGCATTTTGAAGGTCACATAAATTGATGGTCATTGGCGAAGATCCTAGGTGGCTACGGCTTACTGTTTTTGAGTTTTAAGTGTCCAACCGACATCGGTTAATATTTAAAGGGGCATAACCCTACCAATGAGTCGTTGACTCTTTTCTATCTAAATATAACGAAGAACCAGGGTCTAGTCTTGAACAAATTCCACCCTTCGGTTTTTTCTACCAATTATAGTTAAGGTGTTTGAATAATAGCAAGATTTTCGGTGTTAGGGGAGATAACCGCTATAAAGGAAATGGTACGGCGTGGTGCCCTACACAGAAGATAGCTTTTGGTCAACCGATACTTGATACCTAATATCATTTTAACATGTCGCGTATTTTTTGGGGAAATATCGTTAACGTTTGGCGGAAGAATAATAATAATAATTAAAGATCAATTGTTCACGAACAATTGAAAGGTCTTTCCTGCCATATTTTTTTTACATATACTGCCATAAACTTGTCGCAACAACATACTGGTGTTGTCCTTTGATAGGGGGAAGTTAGTGGTATATCTATGACTAACGATAAAATCACGTAATTCTCCCTTCACCATGGGTCCCCAAATTGTTTACATTTTACCGGGAAATTTTTGAACCCAAGATTGTAGTAAGAATAAAAGTCTGTGCGGCTGCTGATTGGATAGTATGCTTATAATTATTGATTTATGAAAGATGGAATACGTTATGTGCACTACTTATTGCAATTTGGAAGGAATCATTTGAAAGTTTCAGTGAAATTTTAGTTTTTTTTCTTTGGAACAGGCAGACTGAAAATTTTTCTGTTTCATTTAGTGCGGACTTTGGAAGCGTCCATAACAACAGCAATTTAAGGCTCATTCCGCTGCATTAATAGCATGATGTTATGTTCTTACTGACATTAATTTAAGGCTTATTCGTCTGCATAATAGCATGATGTTATGCTCTTCATACTGAAATTCTAATTATGTCTACTTAAAAAATCTGTCTTTAGTTTCTATGCCATTTCTATGTTTTTTTTTTTTTTTTTTTTTTTTAAATTATTAGGATTTAAACAGACAAGGTACCCTTTGAATAATGCATTGTAAATAATTGCGCAATTGTAACCTACAGTGCTAATCAGAAGTTAAAATGGGCGTCTCTCTTTATTTCGTCCAATCAAATTGTGTAGAAATGCAGTTTTATGTACATCATTTCTCGAGATTTTGACGGACATGGTGGAGCTATTAATATCTCTTCGCAAACTATCAATAGGAGTCATGCCCCTTACGGAAAGTAATATATATTTAAAATAAACGCAGAAGGCATTAAAAAGCTTTAAAACATGCACGAAACCCTTAAGATAGGGTAAAAAACCTCAAATTTGTCAGTTTATGACATGACCTTGACCTTGATCTTTGTCAAGGTCTTTGGTCCTCGATGTCATTACAAAAGACTCGTTGTGTCTAGGACATTTTGTTTAAGAGTTACGCCTAATAATTTCTTTTAGTAAGCAGTCAATGGGGGTTATGCCCTTAACATAATGGTCAAATCAATACAGTCATATATGAGATAACTCTTATAAGGTAAATAGTATGCTTTGGTGTCCCTACCAAGAAAGGTTTTATTAACCTTATAGTTGGTTACAAAGATCATTTTGATATGTCGAGTACTTTTTTGACTTTTGACTTTGAAATTTGGCAGAGGAAAAAGAATAATAATAATAACATGAACATGAAGAAACAAAAGAAATACAGTAAGGTCTTTCCATTAAGAAAGGAAAGGCCTTAATAACAATGATAATAATAATAATAATAACAATAATCAGAAGAAGAAGAAGAAGAAGAAGAAGAAGAAGAAGAAGAAGAAGAAGAAGAAGAAGAAAAAGAAGAAGAAGAAGAAGAAGAAGAAGAAGAAGAAGAAGAAGAAGAAGAAGAAGAGGAAGAAGAAATACAGTAAGGTCTTTCGTTATAGTGAAAGGAAAGACCTTTTAAATTATCAAGAATTTCAAAATATTTTCCAAACGCATATTTCAAATATTTTTAGAATATATTTAAGAATATAACGTTCTCAAAAATGTTTGTATACAGAGCCGAGAAAAACAAAAATAAAAGTAACAGTTTGTTGTGTTGTACATCTATGATATATGTGTACACAATTTTCCAGCTGGATCCCAATTATTGACACGTTAACCAATTATACATTGTCTGTTTGGGTTGCTCAACATATCGGATCTTTCCACAACTGGCATACAAGTGGGAGATTTAGCCGGCTATTTTCGTCGGGAAATACTTGTACCAAGTCAGGAATATAACTATTTTCTATTTGTCCCGTTGATTGAAACAGTCGAGCATTTGATTTGTCAGGTTTTATGGAATATACTGAACTCAAAATTTATACCAGTTATGAACATTAACAAAAAAAAACAAATGAAAGCATTTTTTTATTCCTTTAAAACACATTTTTCTACATAATATATCTATTTACTACAGTTTTTCTCAGAATAATACAATCAAAAACTATTTACTGTAAACCAACCTATTTTCGAAGTCAATTTTTTTTTTCGCGCTTAGTCCTTCCTTGCCGACGTCGAGACGATTTATTTGCGATTTTAGATATTTTTTGTTATAAAAGAAGATCCAATGTTCTGATATTGGCGGCAATTTATATTCGCGTTATATTTTTACATGCGAGAGTCGCAAAAATTCATTGTTGGGGAAAATAATTTGGTTTTCAGTATTTCTTTAAATTGTATACATTACTAATTGTACGCATTCTAGAATCCACAAAGGCATGCAATATGGCCCTGAAAACTATAAATACTGTTGGTATTGATATATCAGTATATATGAACGGAAAAATGCATATAGTATTTGGAAGCAATATGAATCTACTTTCCAAACGTAAATTTATCAGAAGTATTCTAAAATTATCTCCTTTTCTTTGGCCAATTGTAAATCCGACGATATAGAAGTAGATTGTTGGTTTGCTTCTGAATGTAAATTAAATCAATTATTTGTTATCGATAAATATGCATTACTTATAATTAGCTAACATTAAAGTTTTGGTTTTTTGCAAATGCATTTCCTTGTACAAAAATATGCAGCACTTATGCATTATAAACCAATATTCAAACAGAAAAAATACTGTCTACCGACAATCAATTGTTCTATTGTGTAACACACATGCCTTGATTTTTTTAAATAGTTAAAAGGCTTGTAAAAACCTGTAAAAAGAATTAAAAAGTTACAAATATGCATATTTTTCAGTAAGTTCAATTCAGAATGACAAATTAATTGATTCCATCACCTTGCTTAATGCTTGTATCAGCATCTAAGATATAAAAATACAATTATTTAAGTCTGTATTGGTCAAGCGAAAAATAGATTTTATTGCATTGTTTTCAAAAAATTATTTTTATTTAGCAAAATTTCATATTAAGCCAATTACTGATGAAGAAATCAATAAGTTTAATCTTAAATCCAAAACATTAAAGGTTCACATAATTGTTGTACTGAAAATAGTAGTTTACTTGAAATCTCAATACCAATAGCATTCTCCAGGAACGATAGCACATCTTTAAATATTTTGTATATCTAGCAGGTATCTATATCAGACAAAATGTACATAACATGCAGGTCAATACGATGCATAGTAAAATAGCACAAGACGAGGTATATTTAAGATATATCTCCCACAGTCTACATTCTTTCAAGGAACATAAATGTCTGACTTTTTTTTCTTTTTTCTATAATATTGTGAATAAAATTGTACTGTAACAATTTGAAATGACAATTATTCTAAATAATTTAATAGGGTATAAAATTGAGAATGGAAATGGGGAATGTGTCAAAGAGACAACAACCCGACCATAGAACAGACAACAGCAGAAGGTCACCAACAGGTCTTCAATGCAGCGAGAAATTCCCGCACCCGGAGGCGTCCTTCAGCTGGCCCCTAAACAAATATATATACTAGTTCAGTGATAATGAACGCCATACTAAACTCCAAATTGTACACAAGAAACTAAAATTAAAAATAATACAAGACTAACAAAGGCTATACATATATGAAACCCTCTGAGTACTGAAAACATTATTTGGTCTATCAATATGACAAATAGTATTTAATTATTTCTTTACAGCTTCAAACGTCTGCCATTAGATATATATATATATAGATATATATATTTTGCAATCAGCATCTTTCATATTTCATTGTAAAACAATTGACAAGTACATTCTCAAAAAATCTTAAAATTATAAAATAATGATTTGAAGAGCATTATCTGTAAAATTCAAATCAATAGTCGATAAAAACAGGATGAACGACTAATGGATTGCAATCAAGTTACTTGAAAACATATGAAATGAACAAAAAGACCGTATACCTCATTACTGAAAGTTTTAATAAAACTTATATATAAGAAATATATTCTGTTAACCTTAACTGAAGGGACATAATCATTGCAATCCATCGGAATTATTGTGTTGTGATTGTTTTTAACTATATGCTCATATTTGCATAGCATACTTGTATTTGATTTCATATGAGTCATAATAAAACATTGATGCACTGACTATGACAGATTAACTCCAGATGTAAGGCGGTTTATTCCTAAATCCAAATCTACCCATTTACATTATCAATGATTACCAATATAACAAATGATATCATTTAAACATAGTTGTATATATTTTGATATATGTAATTATTTTTTAATTAATTTTACAAAATTGTAGTTTGTTTTTTTTTTCTTAGATTTAGAAAATCCACGTGTTTATTTAATTTCACAACTAGAAATCGTTATGGTCAGTCTTGGAGCTGGCATGTCAGTAACTGCTAGTAGTCCTTTGTTCATTTATGTATCATTGTCATTTTGCTTAGTTTCTTTTGTTACTTATTCTGACATCGGACTCGGACTTCTTTTAAACTGAGTTTTACTGTGCGTATTGCTATGTGTTTCTTTATTCTACATTAGCTAGAGGTATAGGGGAGGGTTGAGATCTCACTAAACATGTTTAACCCCGCCACATTTTTGCGCCTGTCCCAAGTCAGTTCCTCTGGCCTTTGGTAGTCTAGTATGTTTTTTTTTTTATTTTAGTTCATTTATATGTTTTGGAGTTTAGTGTGACGTCCATTTTCACTGAACTAGCACACAATTTTATTTAGGGGCCAGCTGAGGACCACCTCCGGGTGCGGAATTTTCTCGCTGCATTGAAGACCCATTGGTGGCCTTCGGCTGTTTTCTTCTCTTTGGTAGGATTGTTGTCGCTTTGACATGTTCCCCATTTCCATTCTCAATTTTATTGGAACTTATCATAGACTGATGAATGAACAATATGAGCTATTCAAAAATTATACACGAGGAAGAATAAATCTCAAAAATATAATCACAAAAATAACTATGGTACAATTATTCAAATTTATCACAATCATAAAAACAAAAATAAAACCGAAAGAATACGCTGTAATTCACCAAGAAGATAGATATGGTAAAACATTTCAAAAAAAATAAAAATAAGCTGCCGTCTTTCATCTGGATTTTCTGTGTAAACAAAACATAATATTATATAATGATTATTTAAGGAAATATGAAGTTGAACGTACACTAGTGAATAATTGAAATATTACATCATTTTTAAAACTGTATCCTGAGCAAAAAAAAAACTATAATAATTTAAAATGATCGATAAAAACTAAATTGTATCCAGAATTTTAAGAGATCAAGTGTTCAATGATGCCATTTAATCTTTAACGAAAAATAATTAGTCATTTAAGAATATAGTACAACCCATAAATAGAAAAAAAAAATATGTGTAAAGAAAAATTAACCAGAGAACCCGACAATACATCAAAATGTAAAACAACACATATCATTAATGTCATAGATACAGTTTGTTAGGGGTGATTACAAGCTTGTGATCCAGTATAACCATATGTCTATTGTTGAAAACCGTACATTGATCTGTAGATGTTTTCTTGGGTTGCTGTTTAATATCCTTATATCTTTAGCTATATTTTTTTTCTCCTATTGTAAGCAAAAAGAAAAATAACAACAACAAAAAAACTACAAGGAAAATTCAAAATGGAAAGGTTTTCTTGGGTTGCTGTTTAATATCCTTTTATCTTTAGTTATATTGTTTTTCTTTACATATTGTTAGCAAAAAGAAAAATAACAAAAAAAAAAAAAAAAACTCCAGAGAAAATTCAAAACGGAAAGTCCTTCATCAAATGGCAAATTCAAAAGCTCAAACATTTTGATCTCTTGAACTCATAAATTGTAAAGTATTCATATTCTATATAATGAAATGCTTCGCTGAGCGCAGCCTGATACGACCGCAGAGGTCGAACCCTGAACAGTTGGTACAAATTTGGACACAATATTCAAGCTTGATACTGTCTGAATTTGGATTGTGATCAAATTTTTGACATAATATAGATTTCTGACACAAAATAAATGTGGTCAAAGATCTTACAAATCTATTGCGCAATACTGTGCAATTGAAGATTTCTTCTTGAAACTTTTCAAAAATTCTAAATTTGAAAAAAACAATATGAATCCTCTAAAAAAAATTGGGAAAAAAAATCCCCCCCCAACTTTTTAAAACCCCACTTGGAGCAATAACCCCAAAATTCGATCCCAGCCTTTCCTTTGTAGTATGGAACCTTGTAGTACAATTTCAGAGAGATCCATACACTTAAACACAAGTTATTGTCTGGAAACTAGAAAAATGCTTGTTTTTTACCCTTTTTGGCCCCTAATTCCTACATATTTGGGCAATTAAACCCAAACTCAATCCTAGCCTTCCTTTTGTGATATGGAACCTTGTGGTACAATGTCAGTGAGATCCATACACTTACACACAAGTTATTGTCTGGAAACTAGAAAAATGCTTGTTTTTGGCCCTTTTTTTGGCCCTTAATTCCAAAACTGTTGGCCCCAAAACCCCTTAAACAAATCCCAACCTTCTACTTGTGGTATTAAACATTGTCGTACAATTTCAGAGCAATCGAAATACTTATACACAAGTTATTATCCTGAAACTAGAAAAATGCTTGTTTTTGGGCCCTTTTGGGCCCCTAATTCCTAAACAGTTGGGACCATCATCCTCAAAATCAATCCCAACCTTCCTTTTGTGGTATTGAACCTTCTTAAAAAATTTCATAGAGATCCATTCACTTAAACTTAACTTATTGTCCGGAAACCAATGTGTCTTAGGACGACGACGCAGACGAAGACGACGACATCATACCATTATACGATCCCAAAAAATGTTTTGTGGTCGTATAAAAACGTCCAATAGATTTTAACAAAACGCCAACCCGTCTATAATAAGTAAAAACAAAATGTAAGATACCGATTATAGTGTGGTAGACCGTTGTCTGTCATATACAGTTTGGGCTTACAATTTTTTTAAACTTTTTAGAAACTGTAAAATTTTTCAAGTGAAATTTTGAATGCTTTGATAATAATATCTATATATTTTATCAATTGATATCAAACACAAAGACATTTACATAATTTTCTTCGTTTGACTTATTTTACTATTTTTGACAATTTTAAGGTAAACATAATGGTTATTTTATCGACCCCTTCTTTTTAACCCCAAAACACAATCATAGCACTGCAAATAGTATTTGTCGTTCTGGTATTTTACGGTTGTTTTTATTTACTTCTTTTGCAATGACTGTAAAAAATATGTGTGCCAAAATGTCATTTACTAAGATTCCAACTCCCTCAGGCAAAGGTAACCTTAGATGGATTAGCTTTAATTTTTATATACCATTCGGTCATTTGGCTCTTCAACTGTTTATATTCTTTTACATACTTGATGTTCAAATATTGGAATTTGACCGTTCCTGGTGAAGGTAAATCCAGAAGGGCTCTTCGGACGCATGATATGTGTACTGTAAAGTGTTGTTTTCATCTTTTTGTACATATATAAACTGAAAATACAATCTATCGTGTATTAACTGGAAAGAAATGAAGTTTATGTGTGAGAGACGAATAATAAGAAGGTACGGTTTTGACTGTCTGGTCGTCTTCAATGGGTATATCGTACTTGCTTACTCTCTTGTTGACATCTGTAAGTATATCAAGCAAATGGTTCCTAAAAAGATATAAATAAAGATAAAAAAGGCAAATTAATTTTGCTACAGAAGCAAAGTAAAACTGACAGGTTGATAGCAACAAAAAAAGATTTATAAGAGCGAGAACTTTGCCATAAATTAAATCACATCAAATGTATTATATATCATGATTAGTACTGATATAACTTTAATTTATCATTTGAACTTCATCTGCTCGATTTATCTCATAGGTTTCAGGTTGGACTAGACAAGATGAGTTTCTTGACATCAAAAAGCGGAAACACGTTTCACTACAAGAAAGACGAGTCAAAATATATTATTTTGACGTCTTTTAAGGAAACGAGCGTTGCAAATGTTTACCTTATACAATCTTTTTGTATTTGATCACATAACGCCTGTATGAAATACGACCCATTATTAGGATCTCTGTATGATGAACACCCTGGCGCTGTGGAAAACGCTAATAAGAAATCGCTTTCGTCAGGAATGACCTCTTCAACAGTATCATCTTCGTCTATTTCCACAGCTATGACATCATTTCGGGCTTTCGCTGCTGGTCTTGGAGCTGCCTTGCCTAAATAAAGATTCTATGAATTACACTTATTTATCTTTTACAGACCTGATGTAATTAAAAGTGTAATAAGAATTGTAATGTCCTGTAATTAAGTACAAATTCAAAGTAATATGTAACTGGGTATATATTCAATTACATGTAATGTTAAGTAATGAATTACATTACCTTTTTGTCATGTAATCATGAAATATTTTTTCAATTACTTGCAATAACATTGGAGTGTTTGTTTGAAATTTTAAAACATTTTTTTTTTATTTCATTTAGTATGCACTTGGAATTCTGTTCTATACTTTGATTGTTCACAATTACTATGTTGTAAAAAATTAAAAATAGTATTGGTAAATACTACAAATTGTAAAAATAGCAATATACATTTAGTTTTTCCTTGCGAACTAAGTAATACATTTGATTAATTTTAACTGTTAGGTAAGTAATCCAACGCATTCTCCCAATGTGAAATACTGTTTTTTTTTTGTATATAGGATATCGAGAAAAAAAACTTATGAATCGGTATTCATGGAATATAAAATAAAATGCTTCGCTGGGCGCAGCTTGATACGACCGCAGAGGTCGAACCCTGAACAGTTGGGACAAGTATGGACACAACATTCAAGCTTGATACAGCTCTGAATTTGGATTGTGATTAAATATTTGACACATCATAGGTTTCTGACACAGAAAGAATGTGGTCTAAGAACTTGAATTTTTTTAATTTACCTATTATGGTCCAATGTCCAAAATCTAAATACATGGTTAGATTCAGCATATCAAAGAACCCCATATATTCAATTCTTGTTGAAATAAAAAAAAGTTTAATTTTGGACCCCAACTTGGACAAACTTGAAAACTGGACCCATAATCAAAAATCTAAACACATGTTTAGATTCAGCATATCAAAGAACCCCAAGAATTCAATTTTTGTTGAAATCAAATAAAATTTAATTTTGGACCCCAATTTGGACCAACATGAAAACTGGGCCAAAAATCTAAAATCTCAATACATGTTTAGATTCAGCATATCAAAGAACCCCATATATTCAATTTTTGTTGAAATCAAACAAAGTTTAATTTTGGACCCCAACTTGGACCAACTTAAAAATTGGGCCCATAATCAAAAATCTAAACACATGGTTAGATTCAGTATATCAAAGAACCCCATATATTCATTTTTTGTTGTAATCAAACAAAGTTTAATTTTGGACCCCAATTTGGACCAACTTGAAAACTGGGCCAAAAATCAAAAATCTAAATACATGTTAAGATTCAGCATATCCAAGAACCCCATATATTCAATTTTTGTTAAAATCAAACAAAGTTTAATTTTGGACCCTTTGGACCTTAATGTAGACCAATTTGAAAACTGGACCCAAAATTAAAAATCTAAATACACGGTTAGATTCGGCATAACAAATAAATAAATGTGGTCAAAGATTTTACAAATCTAATGCGCCATACTGTGCAATTAAAGATTACTTCTTGGAATTTTTCAATATTTGAAATTTGAAAAAAAAAAAGATTTGAAGAATAATTCTTTTTAATTTCTGAAATCTGAAATGAGAAAAAATTGACCCCCCACAATTTCTTTTTACCCCCCCAACTTTTTCCCCCAAAAAATTCTTTCCCTCAAGATATGGTCATAATCTCAATTCAAATTTCCAATGGAGTTTGCAACCATAATTACCCATTTAAATTTACCATAGTGCTAACTTAATCTATTTTATAATATAATTTAAAATATAGTGTCAAATCTTTCATATAGATTTTTTTTTTAAAAAAAAGATGCAACATTTGCAGATATTTTTACTGGTCTTCCTTTATAAATATGCATTTCTTTAAACATAATTTAAAAGCAGTGTAGGGGAAGTAATCAAAACGTTGTATTTGAATTACCTCCCTTACACTGTTTTAAATTATCTTAATTGGTCATTAACCATTACTTTATACATGATTTAAAAGCAGTGTAAGGGAGATAATTTCAATGATGTATTTGATTTATCTCCCTTACACTCCTTTAAATTATGTTTTGTACTAAAGTATTTGTCCATTAACCAGGACAACCTTGTTTTTCCCCCTTTTTTGCCCCTAATTCCTAAACGGTTTGAGCCATAACCCCCCAAAGCAAATCCTAACCATCCCTTTGTGGTATGGAAACTTGTAGTATAATTTCAGAGAGATCCATACACCGTTCCACAGTTATTGTCTGGAAACTAGAAAATGCTTATTTTTTGCCCCTTTTTGGCCCCTAATTCCTTAACTGTTGGTACCATAACCCCCCAAATCAATCCCCACCTTCCTTTTGTGGTATTTCACCTTATGGTAAAATTGCAAAGAGATCCATTCACTTAAACTAAAGTTAGAGTGCGAAAACCAATGTATCTTCGGACGACGACGACGACGACGACGACGACGACGACGCCAACGTCATACCAATATACGTCCGCAAAAATTTTTTGCGGTCGCAAAAAAAGCACTTCAAGAAAGGCATCAAAGTCATTAAATATGTGGGGCAAACTCAATAAAATGCTCCGCAGGGCGCAGCTTGATACGACCGCAGAGGTCGAACCCTGAACAGTTGGGGCAAGTATGGACACAACATTCAAGCTTGATACAGCTTTGCATTTGGATTGTGATTAAATATTTGACACAGCATAGGTTTCTGACACAGAATGAATGTGGTCTAAGAACTTAAAAATTTTAAATTGGACATTCACCTATTATGGTCCAATATCCAAAATCTAAATACATGGTTAGATTCAGCATATCAAAGAACCCCAAGAATTCTATTTTTGATGAAATCAAACAAAGTTAAATTTTGGACCCTTTTGACCTCAATGTGGATAAAGTTGATAACGGGGCCCAAAAATCAAAAATCTAAATACATGGTTAGATTCAGCATATCAAAGAACCCCATATATTCAATTTTTGTTGAAATCAAACAAAGTTTAATTTTGGACCCTTTGGACCTTAATATAGACCAATTTGAAAAACGGAACCAAAAATTAAGAATCTAAATACACGGTTAGATTCGGCATATCAAAGAACCCCAATAATTCAATTTTTGATGAAATCAAACAAAGTTTAATTTTGGACCCTTTGGACCTCAATGTGGACCAATTTAAAAACGGGGCCCAAAATCCAAAAACTAAATACACGGTTAGATTCAGCATATTAAAGAACCCCAAGAATTCAAGAATAAAACCCCATTGAAATTGATCAAGAAATAAGCAATTTATAGGAAGTATCTTCTTTTGCACAATACTGTGCAATTAAATATTTCTTGCTATTGCGCAATACTGTACAATTGACAATTTCTTGCTATTGCGCAATATTGTGCTATTAGATATTTCTTGCTATTGCGCAATACTGTGCAATTGAAGATTTCTTGCTATTGCGCAATACTGTGCAATTGAAGATTTCTTGCTATTGTGCAATACTGTGCAATTGAAAATTTCTTGCTATTGCACAATACTTATTATATAATAATTTACACATCCTGTTTGGTGTGCATCTCCTACCATATCATTATTATTTGCTTTTAAATAGAAATCAGAAATAACCAACTTAAAATGGAAAATTAAAAAAAAAAAAAAAAAAGGAAAAACAAAAAAATCCCCCCCCCCCAATTTTTTGAACCCCCTTATGATTCATCACCCCCAAACTCAATCCCAGCCTTCCCTTTGTGGTATGGTACCTTGCAGTACAATTTCAGAGAGATCCATACACTTGAACACAAGTTATTGTCTGGAAACTAGAAAAATGTGTTTTTTGGCCCCTTTTTGGCCCCAAATTCCTAAACGTTTAAGGCAATTACCCCAAAACTCAAACCCAGCTTTCCCTTTGTGATATGGAACCTTGTAGTGCAATTTCAGAAAGATCCATACACTTACACACAAGTTATTGTCCTGAAACTAGAAAATGCTTGTTTTTGCCCCTTTTTGGCCCCTAATTCCTTAAATATTGAGGCAATTACCCCCATCATCAATCCCAGCCTTCCCTTTGTGGTATGGTACCTTGCAGGACAATTTCAGAGAGATCCATACACTAACACACAAGTTATGTCTCGAAGTTACAAAAATGCTTATTTTTGGCCCCTTTTTGGCCCCTAATTCCTTAACTTTTGGTACCATAACCCCCAAAATCAATCCCAACCTTTCTTTTGTGATATTGAACCTTGTGGTAAAATTTCATAGAGATCCATTCACTTAAACTAAAGTTAGAGTGCGAAAACCAATGTGTCTTCGGACGACGCAGGACGACGCCGGACGACGAAGACAACGACGACGACGACGACGCCAACGTCATACCAATATACGACCACAAAAATTTGTTTGCGGTCGTATAAAAACAGATGTCTTTAAAACATGTTTGATGTTTGATGTGATGATGATTAAATGTTACCAAATAGAAAAACAGTGGCAGCAAAATTGTCCTTGCCCTGTATGCCAATTTGCATAACAAGGACTAACATAGCAATTAGAAGCATACAATTACATTATAGCCTATACAAGTGTTTCAATGTTAAACAGTGCAGTGCATTCTACAAAGGACTCCCATTCCAGCTGGTTAAATAAAGGCAACAGTAGTATACCGCTCTTCAAAAGTCATAAATCGATTCAGGGAAAACAAATCCGGGTTACAAACTAAAACCGAGGGAAACACATCAACTATAAGAGGAAAACAACGGAACAACAGAAACACTGAAGTGCAACAAAAAAAAAACGCCAACATACATAAAAACGAACTATTCGTGTTTTGATTTTGCCATTTGATTAGGGACTTTTCATTTTGAATTTTCCTCGGATTTCAGTATTTTTGTGATTTAACTTTTTTCGATAACAACTGCCATATTCCGAACTTGGTACAGGGCATTTTATGAAAAAATGGAGGGTTGAACCTGGTTTTATGGCTAGCCAAACCTCTCGCTTATATGGCAATGTTAAAGAATATCGCTAAAATGATACCACTACATGACAGAAATACAGCACAAGCAAACACAAGAACACTCAGCACAGAGAAACGCACAAATAAGTAATATAATAGTCGTTACAACATGTAAACCGCAGAATAACAACGAACATCTTCCATTAACGACAGCACATGACATCACAAACAGTGACGTATTTTTGTAAGGAATATATAATCTTGAAATTAACATTTTCATCTTATATGATAACGTTCTTCATGTTTGTAGCACCGCAGTAATTGAAATAAAATTGTAATGTAAATAATTACTTTTTTTTTTGACTAAATGTAATTTAGTTGTGATTTAATTGAAAAAAAAATCCGTATGTAATTGAAATGTGATTAATTACTTTAGCATACAATTGAGCATAGGTCTGATCTTTCAAATAAAAAAATGATACAATGATTAAATTCAGCCAACACATATACACATTGATCTTCTATAATTTACATAAGAATTTGTTTTCCTGATACATGTATTACTAATGTCATCATGACTATGTTGACATTTCGTCCATTTTCGTTTATTGAAAAAAATATTTATTAACGATTTTACAATTATTTCTGTTGTTTTCCATGTAGGCTATCAACTTAGATAATAAAAAGGCATTGCATTCAGAGATTTGTATTGTACATATGATGTACATATATAATTGAAAATAAATCATTGCTACGCCCATATTTCACATGATAACTATTATTTTCTGAATAAATGACAAAAGAGGCGGAAGATAAAAAAAAAAGAATATTCAAACTCATAAGTGAAAGACAAACTGTCAACGCCATCGCCCAAAAAAAAAATGACGACAAAAAACAAACAACAGTCTACAAAATACAACATTGAGGTATTTTGCAAAACCTTTCGGAATGTTGGATCCTCAATGCTCTTCAACTTCGTACTTTATTTGTCTTTTGTAGATGAAACGCGCGTCTGGCGTACCAAATTTTAATCCTGGTATCTTTGATGAGTTGATTGACGCCTGAGCTTCACGAGCCCGGCAAAATACCGGGATGATCTCCCTGAAATTTCCAAAAATACTACAAGTATTGGTATCATAATCTAAATTCAATTTAAAAATAAAAAAATAAAAAACATAAAAAATGTAATGTCTGAAATACATTTAAGTCAGGTAATTGGTTCTTTGAGAAGACCGAACATCCTGTTAACATAGAGTTAAAAATACGGAGTTTGCTACCAGCATTGCATTGTTTTTGAGATAATTCCTTTGCAGACTAATTTTGTTTCCGAGTTTCATGGAATTTACTTACGTTGAACAATTTGCTCCTTTTTCCCTTGACAAGCTTGCACAAAGAACAGCTTTGGTTTTCCAGCCAAACTTTTACAATTTGACCCGGTGAACTTTTCAGTAAGATTTCTTACTGGCACTGGGAATCCATCAACACCATAAACCGAACGGGGGCCTCCATGGGATAGAATACATACTACCACAGAACTGTATCTACTGTGATCTTGCTTTGATAAGGTGTCAGTAACCTCAAGTATCTGATGAGATTTGAGATCTTCGTGTCTCTCTATTTTGTAATTTAACTGTCTAAAGGTTTTCGAGAGCTCATCTGAAAAAGTTTCAACCGTAGAGTCAACAAAATAATAATAAATATAAACTGCTCCGCTGGATGCGGCATAATACAACTGCAGAAGTCGACCCCTGAACAGTTAGGGCAAGCATGACCATTACATTTAAGCTTGATATAGCTCTGAACTTTGATTGTGATTTAATATTTGACACAGCAACTTAAAAATTGGGACTAAAATCAATAAAATGCTCTGCTGGGCGCAGCTTGATACTGCCGAAGAGGTCGAACCCTGAACAGTTGGGACAAGTTGGACACAACATTTAAGCTTAAAAAAGCTGTGGATTTGGACTGTGATTGAATCTAAGTACATGGTTAGAATCAGAATACAAAAGAAACCCAAGAATTCAATTTTTTATGAAATCAAACAAAAGTGTAATTTACGACCCATTGAACCTAAATGTGGACCAATTTGATGAAGGAACCCAAAATCCAAAAATAAATACATTGTTAGATTCAGCATTTCAAAGAACCCTATATATATATCCAATTTATGTTATGAAATCAAACCCAGTTTAATATTTGACCCCGATTTGGACCAACTTGAAAACTGGGCCTAAAATCAACAATCTAAATACATGTTTATTTATAGAAAATATAAGCTTAGTTCTTTAAGGAGTTCGCTTCGTCAAATATAAAAATGGGGAATGTGTCCATTGGACACAGATGATGCCCCCGTTTGCATATAACGTTATAAAGGGACATAACTCAAGAACGGTAAACGTGACGATACTCAAAGTCGTACTTGATCTGAGAACGGAAACGAAAAATTCAGCAACTTTTCCATTTGTAAAGGTACATAATTCAAACTTGATCTGTGTATTGTGGTTATAAGTGTTGTGTTTACGTGTCATAACATTTCGGACTTGCGTAAAACATAAGTTAGAGAACGGAAACGAAAAACTCAGCATTTTTTCCATTTGTAAAGAGGCATTACTCTATAATGGTAAAAGTGATGTCACAAAACTCACTCTTGATTTGTGTTTTGTTGTAATAAGCATTGTGTATAAGTTTCATAACATTTGGTTATGGCAAACTTAAGTTAGAGAACAGAAATGTAAAATTCAGCATTTTTTTTCCATTTGTAAAGGGGCATAACTCTAAAACATAAGTGACGCCACCAAAATTCAATGTTGATCTGTGTTTTATGGTTATTAGCATTGTGTATAAGTTTTATAACATTTGGTAAAGGCAAACTAAAGTTAGAGAACGGAAACCAATTTTGGGACGTACAGACGTATGAAAGCACGGACGGACGTACAGACGGACAGGGGTGAAACTTAATGTCCCTTTCGCTACGGCAGTGACTAAATATATATATATATAGCATTCAGAAAATTAGTTAATACAGAATAACAAACTAACCTATCACAATTCTTCAAACATTTTACCAAAGAAAAGAAAAAAATAATTTCAAAAATATCATTTATCATTAATACCATGTCTTTAAAAAATCTATAAAACGTATCTGTAATTATCTTCAAACTATATAATAATGAACAGTAAATTACAAACTATATTTATACTTTCCTACAGAGTTTATCATCAATAACACTTAGGAAACACAAAATTTTCAAATAAATCTGTCGCTTGAATTATAATTGTGTTATTGATAATTACCACATGTTAAAGTTATCTTGATAATAGGTGAAAACCTGACAAAATTGTTTTTGTTATACCATTTTTGGCCCCTAATTCCTAAACAGTTATTAATAAGGGGCCAATTTCATTTGCGGTCGTATAAAAATCTTAATACGTGATTGCACTCTTTGGGCCTTGATGTGGACTAATTTAAAAACTGGGTCAAAAATCAAGAATCTAAATTCACGGTTAAATTCAGCATATCAAAGAACCCAATTAGTTCAATTTTTGATGAAATCAAACAAAGTTTAATTCTGGACCCTTTGGACCTCAATATAAATTACAAACGGGCCCAGAATCCAAAATCTTAATACACGGTTAGATTTAGCCTATAAAGGACAAAAAGAATCCAAGACTAAGACCTAAACCCCATTATCATTGGTCAAGAAATAAATAATTTATACAAGGTACTGTAAACCAACTAATTTTCGCGAGCGATTTATTTTCGCGACTTTCGCGAGTAGAAAAATAATGTAATATAAATCGTCGCGAATATGTAAAACTTGTATTTTTCCATATTTTAATACATCAAGTAAATTTCAGAATCGCGAAATTAAATCTCCGCAAAATGGGCTAGAAAGGGTTAAACGCGAAATAAAGTATTTGCGAAAATAAGTTGGTTTACAGTATAAGTAAAGTATTTGAATCAATACCAATCTGCCTTTCATGGTATGGAACCATGCGGTACAATTTCAAAGGGATCCATACTCTTATTTTCAAGTTTTTGTCTGAAAATCAAATATCTTACGACGAAAACGACGACGATGACTACGAAATTTTGGCGGTCGTATTAAAAGAACGAGAATGTTTGAATCTTTTAGGACATTAATTGTTGATGTTTGTGGGCAGGATGTGAAACTTAGTGTATGAATTAAAGCGGAACGTGGTGGTAAAACATATTCAAACAGTAAACAAAGAGATATAATTATTCAGGTTTTAAACAGCAAAATGCAGTCGTATAAGCAGCTTGCATCTAAGGGCCGATTGGTAACAATACAAACTAGAGCTCTAAAGAGCTGTTGCACACCTGTATTTTCAACAAAGGCCAATTTATTGTAATTTGTAAAATTCATCATTACAAGGGGAAACTTATTATTTCAGGCATGTTAAAGTATTTGAGATCTGATCCTGCTGGTCATTTTTCCTTTTTAAAATAATATTAATTAATTATAGTTTTCAGGTTAATAAGCAATAAAATGCTTCGCTGGGCGCAGCTTGATACGACCGCAGAGGTCGAACCCTGAACAGTTGGGGCAAGTATGGACACAACATTCAAGCTTGATACAGCTCTGAATTTGGATTGTGATTAAATATTTGACACAGCATAGGTTTCTGACACAGAAAGAATGTGGTCTAAGAACTTCAATTTTTTTTATTTACCTATTATGGTCCAATGTCCAAAATCAAAATACATGGCTAGATTCAGCATATCAAAGAACCCCATATAATCAATTTTTGTTGAAATCAAACAAAGTTTAATTTTGGACCCCAACTTGGACCAACTTGAAAACTGGTCCCATAATCAAAAATCTAAACACATGTTTAGATTCAGCATATCAAAGAACCCCAAAAATTCAATTTTTGTTAAAATCAAACTAAGTTTAATTTTGGACCCTTTGGACATTTATGTAGACCAATTTAAAAAACGGGACCCAAAATTAAAAATCAAAATACACGGTTAGATTTGGCATATCAAAGAACCCCAATAATTAAATTTTTGATGAAATCAAACAAAGTTTAATTTTGGACCCTTTTGACCTCAATATGAACCAATTTGATAGCGAGCCCACAAATAAAAAATCTAAATACATGGTAAGATTCAGCATATCAAAGAACCCCATATATTCAATTTTTGTTGAAATCAAACAAAGTTTAATTTTGGACCCCAACTTGGACCAACTGGAAAACTGGGCCCATAATCAAAAATCTAAATACATGTTTAGATTCAGCATATCAAAGAACCCCATATATTCAATTTTTGTTGAAATCAAACAAAGTTTAATTTTGGACCCCAACTTGGACCAACTTGAAAACTGGGCCCATAATCAAAAATCTAAACACATGTTTAGATTCAGCATATCAAAGAACCCCAAAAATTCAATTTTTGTTAAAATCAAACTAAGTTTAATTTTGGACCCTTTGGACCTTAATGTAGACCAATTAAAAAACGGGACCCAAAATTAAAAATCTAAATACACGGTTAGATTTGGCATATCAAAGAACCCCAATAATTCAATTTTTGATGAAATCAAACAAAGTTTAATTTTGGACCCTTTTGACCTCAATATGAACCAATTTGATAGCGGGTCCACAAATAAAAAATCTAAATACATGGTTAGATTCAGCATATCAAAGAACCCCAAGAATTCAATTTTTGATGAAATCAAACAAAGTTTAATTTTGGACCCTTTTGACCTCAATGTGGACAAAGTTGATAACGGGGCACAAAAATCAAAAATCTAAATACATGGTTAGATTCAGCATATCAAAGAACCCCATATATTCAATTTTTGTTGAAATCAAACAAAGTTTAATTTTGGACCCCGATTTGGACCAACTTGAAAACTGGGCCCATAATCAAAAATCTAAATACATGTTTAGATTCAGCATATCAAAGAACCCTAAAAATTCAATTTTTGTTAAAATCAAACTAAGTTTAATTTTGGACCCTTTTGACCTTAATGTAGACCAATTTGAAAACGGAACCAAAAATTAAGAATCTAAATACACGGTTAGATTCGGCATATCAAAGAACCCCAATAATTCAATTTTTGATGAAATCAAACAAAGTTAAATTTTGGACCCTTTGGACCTCAATGTGGACCAATTTAAAAACGGGGCCCAAAATCCAAAAACTTAATACACGGTTAGATTCAGCATATTAAAGAACCCCAAGAATTCAAGAATAAAACCCCATTGAAATTGATCAAGAAATAAGCAATTTATACGAAGTATCTTCTTTTGCACAATACTGTGCAATTGAATATTTCTTGCTATTGTGCAATACTGTACAATTGACAATTTCTTGCTATTGCGCAATAATGTGCTATTGGATATTTCTTGCTATTGCGCAATACTGTGCAATTGAAGATTTCTTGCTATTGCGCAATACTGTGCAATTAAAGATTTCTTGCAATTGTGCAATACTGTGCAATTGAAAATTTCTTGCTATTGCACAATACTTATTATATAATAATTTACACATCCTGTTTGGTGTGTATCTCCTACCATATCATTATTATTTGCTTTTAAATATTAATCAGAAATAACCAACTTAAAATGGAAAATTTTAAAAGAAAAAAAAAAGGAAAAAAAGAAAAAAAAAAAAAATCCCCCCCCCCAAATTTTTTGAACCCCCTTATGATTCATCACCCCCAAACTCAATCCCAGCCTTCCCTTTGTGGTATGGTACCTTGCAGTACAATTTCAGAGAGATCCATACACTTGAACACAAGTTATTGTCTGGAAACTAGAAAAATGCTTATTTTTGGCCCCTTTTTGGCCCCCAATTCCTAAACGTTTCGGGCAATTACCCCCAAACTCAATTCCAGCTTTCCCTTTGTGATATGGAACCTTGTAGTACAATTTCAGAAATATCCAAACACTTACACACAAGTTATTGTCATGAAACTAGAAAAATGCTTGTTTTTTACCCCTTTTTTGGCCCCTAATTCCTAAAATTTTGAGGCAATTACCCCCAAAATCAATTACAGCCTTCCCTTTGTGATATGGAACCTTGTGGTACAATGTCAGAGAGATCCATACACTTACACACAAGTTATTGTCTGGAAGTTACAAAAATGCTTATTTTTGGCCCCTTTTTGGCCCCTAATTCCTTAACTGTTAGTACCATAACCCCTAAAATCAATCCCAACCTTCCTTTCCTGGTATTGAACCTTATGGTAAAATTTCATGGAGATCCATTCACTTAAACTAAAGTTAGAGTGCGAAAACCAATGTGTCTTCGGACGACGCCGGACGACGCCAGACGACGACGACGACGACGACGACGACAACGACGACGACGACGACGACGACGACGCCAACGTCATACCAATATACGACCAAAAAATTTTCAATTTTTGCGGTCGTATAAAAATTTCAAAAATAAGATGGTAAAAATTATCAGCAGAGGGCAATAATTCTTTTAACGAGTTGACGGCATTATGGCTTATTTGTAGATCTTGCTGATTATTTTTGCTATTAAACGTATCTATCTGTCTATAATAATTTTCTAGATAATAGGCAAAATACAAAAAAAAAGTGAATAATCTTCATTTCATGGCAAAAACTTCAATAAGAACTGGAGTCCACTAACGATTTCGGTCGTTTCGATTATTTTTAGATTTGGTCTTGATGGTAATTTTTGCGCTTAGTGTTCGTGTCTATTTATTATAAATTTCGAGATAATAGGCAAAAATAGAAATACATCGATAAAAATCATTATTTAAGGGTTTTGGCGTCAAAAAGAAGTCGCCTTCCAGTTTTAATGTTAAAATTGAGAATGGAAATGGGGAATGTGTCAAAGAGACAACAACCTGACCAAAGAGCAGAAAACAGCCCAAGGCAACCAATGGGTCTTCAACGAAGCGAAAAAATCCGAATCCGGAGGCGGGATTAAGCTGGTCCCTAAACAAATATGTGTACTAGTTCAGTGAAATTGGACGTCACACTAAACTCCAAAACATATAAATGAACTAAAATTAAAAATACATACAAGACTAACAAAGGCCAGAGGCTACTAACTTGTGACAAGCGCAAAAAAGCGGCGGGGTAAAACATGTTTTATGAGATCTCAACCCTCCCCCTATGCCTCTAGCCAATGTAGAATAAACAAACACACAGCAATACGCACAGTAAAACATACATTATGTAGAACTTGAACTTTCTTGGTCTTGTCATATTTTCTGAAACTATATCGGTTATCAACATAATTGACCAAAAATGCATTTTTAGCCCTTTTACTATTTTTAGCCATGTCTGCCATATTTGTCGGAAAGGCGGGGTCATCAGGCACACATTTTTAAAACTAGATACCCCATTGATAAATGTGGCTAAATTGGATTAAATTTGGCTCAGTAGTTTCAAAAATGATATTTGTAAAAGTTGGTGGACGATGGACGACATCGACAAACGACAGCCTACAGGTGATAGCAAAAGCTCGACAAAAATTAAGCGGTCGTAAAATGATGAAGTACGAGAAATATTTTACTCACCAGCATCGAGGTGGGAACCTTTCCTCTCTAAAAGGTCATTTTCAAACTTGCAATTGTTGATTATAATACATTTTCCTTAAAAAGAATTGTGTATTCAATTATCATGATTATGGATAACGAATTCAGTGTATAATGTTACAAATTTCTATCTCTGTATTGACATTTCTAATTCTCTTATTGCTGATCACTTGAATTTATTCTGAGCTTGTTTTATATAGTAATACAAAGTTAGTTCATGAGAACATGGACAAGTAATACATCGTATTCGGTAGATGAAGATTCATGTAATAGGGAAGGGAATTGTAGCTGCACATTTAACAGTTTATAACTCATTTTAGGCATCCAATAATCAATGAAAATTGCATGGGCATACAGGACAAATAAAAAATATATATATCAATATTCATGAATTTGAAGCTTACGGATAGTGCAAGCTTTCCTACAATTTCATTTTGCTTTAGCATTTTTCTATTTCGGTTTAACTTATGAATTTGCCCTCTTCAAACTCATAAATGGGGCATATTAACCAAAAAATTAATAAAAAAAAACGAGCGATTAACATTTGACATATAGAACTATATCATAAATGAGCTCCAGCAAGTTCACCTTATCCGGGGTATGCTACTGCTTCAGCAGAGTTATGTAGTGAATAGACGCTTCAATTGACTGCAAGCGATCACGAATTGGCGAACGGAGACGAGGTGTTTTTATCTGGATTCACTTGCACACGTTTTCGGGATCTTTGATCTTTAAATACCAGAATTTAACGATGGTTTCCTATTACCAATTTTGATTTTTTATTTTCAATGCGTTTAATGCATGCATAGCAATCGACTGGTAGTTTAGATATATTTTATTTGCTTCAATATGCAAAGAAGATGAGATTAAAGTTAATGAAACTCATACAGATTTCTCCCTGACATGCACCCTATTGAAACACCCTATCTCGCTCATGTAGGAGTACAGGTGATTCACTCATTTTTTTTTACTTGATGTAAATGTTCTTATAAAGTCATGAGATTTGTACATCGTCAAACTACTGTTGCCTCCAATTTACATAACAACATTGTCACATAAATGAAGGAGATAACAGACATTGTTTACGAATAAAAACAATTCACTAAATTGATAGGAAATCTTGCTTAGATAAACAAACATGCGATAGCATTCTCACCTGGGTAGCATTGGTCAAAAGGGTAAAAGCCATTTAAATCATAACCTACAAATAAAAATAAATACTCAGTCAATGTTAATGCACTTTTTATCGCTGGTCGCGAATCTGTATACATTGTGCCTACATTAAATAAACAGCAAACACTAAAAACGCGTATAAGTTTCTGGTCGTCTGGGTAAGGATTTTTATTTCAATCTTTTACAATAGAATTGACGTTAGTCATCAATTAATTTGAGAATGGAAATGGGGAATGTGTCAAAGAGACAACAACCCGACCAAAGAGCAAACAACAGCCGAAGGCCACCAATGGGTCTTCAATACAGCGAGAAACTCCCGCACCCGGAAGCGTACTTCAGTTGGCCCCTAAACAAAAATGTATATTAGTTCAGTGATAATGGACGTCATACTAAACTCCGAAATATACAAAAGAAACTAAATTTTAAAATCATACAAGACTAACAATGGCCAGAGGCTCCTGACTTGGGACAGGCGCAACAATACGGCGGGGTTAAGCATGTTTTTTGAGATCTCAACGGAATACTGCAGCAACGGAAATGAAAGCTTCCTAACATTAAATGTCAACTGAATTTCGATTTTCTGTCATTAATGCTATCAGATGGAAAGATAACATATTAAAACCTACCTTTAATGGAGTCCAAAATATGTACCAAATCTCCCCGGTTTATGTCGTATAGTAATTGGTACAAAAATGAAACGTTGTTTGATGTAATATGTTTTTTCTCTTGAATGATGTTAAGGAATTCAAATACTTTCCCACTTTTTCCTATCTTTTCAATTTGACGAACTGCGGGAGAAAAATTCTTCAAACAGTCTCTTGATTTCTGTATCATTGCTATAACATCTTCCATTGACAGGTCTTGTGCAACGTTGAACAACGCTTTCCTAGAAGATAAAAAGGTAACAAGTGGACATGTACAATCCATCATTTAGCATTAATATATATCAGAAGTATTTATCTGGATCATATCTTACCTGTATTGTGTTATAGTGCTAGTGGTGACATCTCCAACGGCACTCTTTACTGCTTCTAGATCTAGCCCAAGTTCTTTAACTAAGCAAGGTCTATCCATTAGACACAGGCGATGGCCCACATATTCTATCAAAGACTCCTTGTGTGAAAGTAACTGGAATATGTCAGTTGTTTCATGGCTTGTATCTAACCTTTTAAGGTCAATATCATCTTGACATAAATATTTGAACGATGCAATATCATGACTATCCAGGTCTTTACATACATCTAATAACCGCATCGTTTCATCGCTTGCACAGCCCATCTCCTGGTCGACTCTTTAAATCGATAAGGACTTCTATCTACATGGTTGCGGTCGACCTAAAACAATGAAAATACTGCAGTGTTTGACAATATAAAACCAAGTGTAAAAGTGCTAGTAATGTCTGAAATAAATTACTCGAAATAAGTATATTTGATACAACGTTATTTGGGTTTTAATTTCTGCATGTATAAAGAGCTTACAAATAATGAACAAAGAATCATTTCTAAGAAAAATCAAAATACCAAAACGGTTTCAACTTTTATCACAATCACTGTGATGAAAGTTTGAACAGACACCAAACCAAAATACAATTCAAAATATGTTTCCGTAGTATGTTATTTGAATACATCTGAAATATAAGTGATTCAAACTATTAGTGACTTTTTAATATCCCCTCCATGTACAGGTTGTATGTTAACAAATATTTTGTTATGAAAGAAATATCCGTGTAAAAGATCAGTGTCAAGGCAACTAGGGGATATGTTGTTACGGTTTATTACTGCAGATTCATTTATTTTCGTTGGTATCAATAAGAAAAAAATAACAAAATTACCGAACTCAGAGAAAAATTCAAAACGGAAAGTCCGTTAACAAATGAATATTCTCGGATAAAAGTAACTTTTTCGATGGTACCTTCTTTCATAATATCACCAGTTTCTACTATCAAAGTAACTTAGAAGTTGTAGTTCGTAAGGTAATATAATTCATCATAACATCTAACCTACGAAATGTCTCAAAACATTATATACCTCAAATATATATGAATCATTAGTATAAAGATGGGCATCTTAGACTTCTAATGCTGTGGAGGCACCCTCCTCTCAATCCCTCTGTTTCACTGTTGTGGAGAGTGGAACACATACGCAGATGATTGAAAGGGGAGTGCTTCAAACCTAACTCGAAAAAGCACATTTTATAAATCTATTTCTTAAGTATATTGAACGTCGATTTTGCAATCACAGGAAAGAGCTAAAAAAGCCTCTAACATCATCATTTTTCGTTTCACAACCAAACAACAAGGTAATATTAAGTACTTTATTTGCTGATATAGAATTGTATGCCATCTGATACTTATATGCATGAATTTTCCTTTAAACTTAGGAAGAAAACGTATTGTTTTATGTCGTATCGAAATTTAAGCATATATATATCATTTGTATGAGCAGACGTGTATGTCAAAGTTTTTCTCTTTGCATGGTCTTTTTGATATATATGATACATATATCAGTGGGGTGTTGATGGGGTCCTTCATTTTTGTATTCTTTATTTTTTTTAAATAATGTTTCTTTATACTTTATAAATATTACCCATTCATTCTTCATTATCTATATTCTAGAACCACATTATTCTCTATTCTTTATTTTTTTGGCCTATTTTTCTCTATTCTTTGATTTTTTCCCTTTGTTTGTTTTGCCGTTTTTGAATATTTTGTCCATCATTCTCTGTTCTGTACACCCTCATCCATATGCATCTCATTTTTACTAACTTGAAACACATTTTCTATTTTTTTTTAAAAGTAAACAAGTTCGTGGAAATACATTTATAAAAAATACTAGCGTAAACATTATGTGTTTTACAACAATAACAAAACTTAATTTTTAGTAGTTTTCCTTTACCTGCATATCGTCATGTTGTCCCGTATTTATTCAAAATAAAACACTATAAATAGACATGACAACAACAAGAAATCAATGGAAATGGAGGCGTTCTTTACTCATTTTGTACATTTTACATTGAAGCAAGTCATTACTTGTGAACAAAAAAGGAACCCTGTGCTAACTGGAAATCCTACTAATTTCGGCGAAATCCATTCTATAAATAAAAACACTCAACGACTATACGTATGACGCACACAATGGCATACGTCAAAAATTATAAAACTAGTATTTATAGAATGACATACATTACTAGGTCATTTAAAATACTAACATACAATATCGATTATAATTTCGTCAACATTTTTCTATTCATAGTAATTTTAGAAGATGAATTATTTAGATTTGTTTCATCTATAAACTTAAATCGTATACGTTTTTTTTTTTTTTTTTTTTATTAAAAAAGAATATTACATGATAAAAGAAAATCATAATCCCTAAATATAAAGATTAATCGATTTCAAGTACATGTTCAGTTATCTAAAATACGCTGATTGAAATGGTGCAATTGCCTAAACATTTCTCAAATACAGTTACATTGGCCGTATGCAACATATATGATAATACTAGTTATTCGCTAAATAATTAAGTTTTTGTGAGGTTCATGTCTTTCAATTTCTATGTGTTTATCAAATATTTCGAGAACTTATGTTAATCTGTTCTTCTTGTATCTAATTCAGACCCTCATTCAAAAAGGGGATGAAGATACCAAGGTGACATTCAAAACGCAAAAGTCGGAGGAACAATTACCTCGCCAAGTGTCTTTATGATCCGTTTATTTTCCATTTAAGTCGAAATTACAAAGGTAAAATAAAACAGTTTCTTTACGCAATTGCAATGATAAAAGGACATTTATCCAAAATTGTCCAAATTGGTTCACATTTAAAACCTTAATCATTCAAATACTTTTAGCATTTAAGATAATTGTGAAATGTATATGTTTTGGGAAGGGGTGGTATATGAGTGAATTATATATAAGGATAATGGGTGTATATGTGTGAGGTATATGTTACAGTTACGGTGGTATATGTGTGAGGTGAATGTAAAGTAAATGAGGAATGTGGTAGAGGTACGGAGGTACAGGTGTGCGTTATTTGTTAGAGGTAAGGGGGTTTATGTGTGAGAAATATTTTAGGTGAACAGTCGGTATAAATGCTAGGTATATGGTAAAGGTATGGGGGTACATGCGTGAGGTATGTTTGAAGGGAATGGATGGTCTATGTAAGGGGAATGGGGGTTTGTGTGTGAGGAATGTAGTAGGGAAAATGGTGGATATGTAAAACGAATGGGGGTATGCGTGTGAGGAATTTCTAGGGGAATTGGTGGTATATGTGTGTTGTATATGTTAGGTGATAGGGGTAAATGTGAGAGAGATATGTCATAGGAATGAGGGTATATGTTAGAGGTATAGGTTAGGATTATGGGTGGTATATGTGTGTTAACCATAATGATCATGAAAGTAAAAGCAACGGTATATAGGGGTATATGTGTGAGATATATGTTAGGGGAACAGTTGGTATATATGTGAGCTATATGTTAGATGTTTCAGGGGTAAAGGTCTGAGGCATATTTTAGGGAAATGCGAGAGGTATATGTCAGGGGAATGAGGGTATGTGTGAGAGGTAAAAGTTAGGGTAATGAGTGGTATATATGTGAGGTAAATTTTATTTTAAAAATAGACCTTCTCATAATACATAAATAATGATATAAAGTGGTATATGTAAGAGGAACAGTTGGTATATGTGTGAGGTATGTGTTAGAGTCATGGGCTGTATTTGTGGGAGGTATATGTTATTTTAAAAATAGACCTTATGCTAATGATATAGAGTTAATAGGTACATTTTTTTTGTCCATAATTATTAGGAAAGTAAAAGCAACGGTATAGGGGTATATGTGTGAGGTATATGTTACGGGAACAGCTGTTATATATATATTAGGGGAACATATGGTATGTGTGTGAGGTATTTGTTAAGGATATTGGGGTATATGTGAGAGTTATGTATTAGTGGAAAGTAAAATCATTAAAATACTGAACTCCGAGGAATGGGTGTTTTATGTGTAAGGTATATGTCAGAGGTATGGTGGAAGATGTTTGAGGTGTATGCAGCGGGAATGGTCGGTATATGTAAGGGGAACAGTTGGTACATGTTAGGTTAATGGATTTTATTACATTGGTAGCATTGAATTACATTGATTTCCCAGTCAAATAAAAACCGATAATTTCACATGTGAAATAAACGTGGTTATTTCACTCTCTGGCGTCATACAACAATAGGCGTTGTCAAGACGCCGATAACGTCGGATCAAAACAAATTGTGAATGCGTAGAAAAAAGATATAGTTCCTTACATTTTCTACATTAATTTCATTAAAAAAAGCCATTTGCCAATGTAATAAAAAGAATAGCTAATCAAAGAATTCAAATATCGAAAAATATTCAACTCGTGACCGAACAACACTGATAATTAACTCATGCGCTACGCGCATTCGTGAATTAATATGTTGTTCGGTCACTCGTTGAATATTTTTCTCTATTTGAATTCTTCGATTAGTTATTCTATAAGTATATGTGTGAGGTAAATGTTATTCTAAAGATAGATCTCATAATAATAATATAAAGTTAATAAGTACATTTATTTATTCAAAATAAACATAATGATCATGAAAGTGAATACAACGGTTGTTTAAATTTCATTTCAATAAACAGGAATATCTTGAATCAAACAATTTAAGTGACGAAACAAACGATATGATGCCGTAAAGCATATTCCATGTTTAATATATAACCATAATCTGGATCGTCAAACATATTTTCGATAAGATAAAAAAGGGGGGAGGAGTTATAGACGCTTTTTGCAAGTGGATTATAGGGGAATAAAAGAGTGGGGATGTGGGAAACAAGGGGTCAAATGTTGGGATGTAGGATATAGAGGGAAAATAAAATAGAATATGGCAAAAAGAAAGTAAAAAGTGGCAAGTGGTAAAAAATTTAAAAACAAATACGCGGGATTTAGGAAAGGTGTCATCACTCTCATAAAAAAGATATGGAGAATATACGTCAATAAGACAGTTATCAACACAAATAATCAACAATAAGTCGAATTTAAAATCACTTTTGAATTTCAGCGAAATATAAAAGGCTTCCAAACCTATTTATAGATTGTTTAACTGCGTAGTGAAGAAAAGCTAAATGTAAAGTGTAAATATAAACTTTTGTTTTGCCTACAATTGGCCAGTTTAAGTACCTACACTTGTATTTTTATATATATATATATATCAATGTATAAATGATCTTAACTTTAGTTAACTTACCATACGAATTTAATAAGTCAATGTAATATAAATTATCCCGTATTTGCCTCAACCTATTTATATCAGATGGAATTTTATTGAATATCTATTATTAAAAGCGGTGTTTAAACAAAAATTGTATCATTTCATTAAACAGGGGACAAATATTTTAATCCACAGGGTCATTTGATTTTTTTTGTACATGCATATATATATATATATATATAACTATTTTGTGACGTAGCTACCAAAGTATGATATTAAACACAACAAGGCTTAGCATTGTACTGTATCGATCATGTCGATAGCAGTTCTGTTCCGTAATAAAGCTCCGTATCGCTATATTTGTAGCTTCCCAGGGGATGTGTTGATGGTTTCTGTTGCCCATTCATCTTTTTTTTCTTTTTGTAATTTCATTTTCTTTCTTTTCGCTCCTTGTGATTTCATTTTATTTCTTTTCTTTACATTTTCTTTACGTGTAATGGGCATGTATAAACATGTATATATGAATTCGTCATTTTTGTTACTAAAGGGAAATTATCAACCACCACTAATGCATGTTGGAAGATTTCTTCTTATGTACTGAAAGCGATATGCATGTAACATGATTTGAATGTTTCCTACTAAATATATCTTATTTAGACAGAATTTTGTTACTTGAAGGAAGCATAAAAAAATGAAGTAAACTTTTGTAAACCCTTAACGGGAGGAATTGTGGTTGATTTCATAGGATGAAGACATTATCTGTACAGTTTGATTTAGGTATTGTGCTGGCATGTCAATAACAGCCAGTAGTCGTTTGTAAATTTATTTTAGGTATTGTTCTGTCATGTCAATAACAGCCAGTAGTCGTTTGTAAATTTATTTTGATCATTGTTATTTTGCTTAGTTTCTAATGTTACCTATTCAAACATCGGATAATGACTTCTTTTAAACTGAGTTTGTGCGTTTTGCTATGTGTTTGATTTCCTGTTGGCTGCGGTATATTGAGAGGGTTGGGATCAAACAAAACATATTAAGACCTGCTGTGTTTTTGTGACTCTCCAAGGTCAGGAACCTCTAGACTTGTTTTTATTTTTTAATTTTTGTTCATTTGTATGTCTCGGAGTTCATTGAGGCCTCTCATTTGCGGAACTAGTATACATTATTGTGTATAGGTCAGTTGTAACCCGCCTCTGGGTTCCAGAAATCTCGCTGCACCTTGGACTGTTTTCTACTCATTGGTCAGGCAGTGGTTTCTTTGGCACATTCCCCGTTTCTGTTCTTTATTCTATTTGTGTTGATAGATTTTTAAACAGAACAAATTACCAAGTAAAGAGTCATCTAAAGAAGTGAGCCTTGTGTTTTTATATAAGACAACCTCATTTTGGGCCTTTTATAGCTAACTATTCGGTATGGGCTTTGGTCATTGTTTAAGGCCGTACGATGACCTATAGTTGTTTCTGTGTCATTTGGTTTCCTGATGAGAATTGGAATAAATCTTCTTATTTTTATATTGAACCACAAAATACAGAGTGAAATGAAATGCTGCATCTTCCTAAACTAACTTGTAAAATAGTTGCGTTACAGAAGGGGCATTTCAATGTTCAAACATAGGTATACTATTTTCTTTTAGTATTGTTTTTTTTTGGGGGGGGGGGGGGGGGGTAAATGGTTTATCACTGAAGATGAATGGTTGAGGGGTTGTTGATGGTATTTTCCTTTCCATAATCATTTATTATCCAGTTTCATTCTATTGCCAAAACTTTGGAAAATTTCTCAACATCTATACAGATTTCTTTAATATTTTAATTACAGAAAGTATACTGATTCTTTAGTTCCTTTTTATTGTTTTTTAACTTAATGATGGTACATTGCTTTAAAATTCACAATTGCTGTTTTTGACAGTTCGGATAATGAAAATAGTATAAGACATCAAGAAAATGCTAGATAGAGTTGAGGGAGCATCTCAAAGTTGTATCCCAACTTAGTTTATTTTTGCACCTTCTGCAGGAACGAAGACTTAACGTACTGATAAATAAGAATTAAAAGGTTAAATTGATCCTTTCTGTAACAAAACAGTACTGGAAATATAGTATAAGACATCAAGAAAATGCTAGATAGAGTTGAGGGAGCATCTCAAAGTTGTATCCCAACTTAGTTTATTTTTACACCTTCTGCAGGAACGAAGACTTAACGTACTGATAAATAAGAATTAAAAGGTTAAATTGATCTTTTCTGTAACAAAACAGTACTGGAAATATTCCAAATTGCATAATTATAAACACCATATGTAAATTATTTCCAATCAGATACAATTTAAAGAACAGTAAGTGAAAAATAAAAACTACAGATATATATAGCTAACGTTGTTCGTCATAACTCAATCACTCTTTTTTTCTTTTTTTTCTAACAATTTTCCTTAAATACAATTTCATTGTTTTTGTTCTACTGGTTTTTCATAACGATTGTTTATTCTTGTTATGTATTATGTACTGTGTTATTAGGTTAACTTCGTGTATGCCATCAGTCCCATTGGGATACAACAGCATTTAATTTGAATGAATAGATACAATTATGGAGGTTAACCACTAAAAGATTAAAACGCGCTTCTGTTTACATTGGGATTGTATAATATATCAATGATGTAACATTATGAATGACTACCAGTTGTAATAGACCATTATAGGTGAAAAGGCGTAAAACCGCAAGTTGTTGTTATACAATTATACCACTACAATAATTACACTTCCTTTTGTTAGGGATTCCACAGTTTTTAACAATTAGCCTGGAACCCGCGTGCTAATCATAACAATTCAGATTCGGATAAAACTTGATATTGTAACTATGTGTGACCTACATAATGCTGGAATTTAAACAGGTTCAACATAATTACATTTATTAAAGAAAGAGTGCTAACACTTTATTATTCCCTCATTTTAGTTGCATGTTCCAAGATTGACACATTTCTTTAAAAAAAAGCAATTAATATTATGATCTTTCCAAACCTTTAACATTTAAACTAATTAAATAGGCTTCCTGTTTGTGATAGTAAAACACAGGAAATATATTTTCCGCGCAACATAAGCATTGAATATTCATAAGCGTTGCAATGATTCTATTTTAAACTAGCATTTGTTGATGGGATACTATTGCTATTGTTAGATTATTATGTCGTGTGTTTTACTATCACAAACAGGAAGCCTATTTATTTAGTTTAAATATTAAAGGTTTGGAAAGATCATAATCGACTATCTCATATACTAAATATTCCGCACATTAATATGATACGTATTTATAGGTAATTACAGGGGGTTAAAAATAACCATGACAAATAAAAAACTAAATCGGATAAAATAAAATTCAATAAAGAACAAGCATTCTGAGAGTATTGCATGGCAATACCTCGAGGGCAATACATAGTCCCCTACCGGTTAAAAATTCATTGTACTGGAACAAAATGCTAACTTGATATATAACTTGTCATGGTGTAAACTATATAACAAATATCAAATCAATATTTTCAAGCATGGTGAAAAAAGTGCAGAAATCTGATTATTTGAGTGAATTTTCTAAGTCCAAGGACCATAACTGTGCACAAAATCATCAGACCGTAACAAAATTCGAACTTGATCTGTAACTTGTCATGATAAAACTATATACCAATTATCAAATCAATATCTTAAAGCATGACGAAAAAAAGTGTGGATAACTGATTATTAGAGTGAATTTTCTAAGTCCTAGGACCATAACTCTGCACAAAATCATTAGACCGGAACATAATTCGAGCTTGATCTGTAACTTGTCATGATAAAACAATAAACCAAAATTCAAATCAATATCTTCAAGCATGAACAAAAAAAGTGTGGAAAGCTGATTTGCCGGACTGACGAATGGAAAGACAGACGGACGGAGTGCAAACCTAAAGTCCATTCGACTTTGTCGATAGGGGACTAATAAGCAACATAAAATACAATATTTGTTTATTGCAAAACTAGTTATTAAGTAGACACGTATTAAATTAAATCGTTCTCTGCAACAAATGATATTGAAAATAGTTTTTAAATTGCATCAACAGAAAATGTTAAATCCGTTATGAATAAATACAAATTTTTAAAGTAAATTTTATGAGTAATACCGCCATTGTATTCGTCTTTTTTTCTATTTGCACTTTTCAAGAAATTGTTCAGAATTGTCATGGAACTGTACTTTCACAAGTATTATCTAAATCTGTTATCAGTTTTCAATTGACTATAGTAAATTGATAAGGTCATACTTGTTAATTGATTCCATGTTTTAATGTTTTAATGAACTGTAGCAGACAGTCTGAATGACCGTTACATTTAATGTATGATCCCTATAGTTTGTGGTCATGAGTGAATGCTACTTTGTATGTAAGAAAGTGACGAAGGCGACCGTCGAAAGATGATAAACGTTTGAGAATGTTGACCTGCGATAGAGTAAGGTATGAATAGTTGTAGAGAATAGACCTGATTTTTACATATATACATATGAACTTGTATATATAACAAGCATTCTGTGCGTATTGCCTGGCAATACATAGTCCCCTACCTGTTAATGTTACAAATTCATTGTACTGGAACAAAATGCTAACTTGATCTATAACTTGTCATGGTGTAAACTATATAACAAATATCAAGTCAATATCTTCAATCATGATAGAAAAAAATGTGAAAAAATTGATTGTTTGAGTCCAAGGACCATGATAACTCTGCACTAAATCATTAGACCGGACCAAAATTCGAACTTGATCTGTAACTTGTCATGATAAACTATATACCAATCATTAAATCAATATCTTCAAGCATGACAAAAAAAGTGCGGAAAACTGATTATTTGAGTGAATTATTTATGTTCAAGAACCATAACTCTGCAAAAAATCGTCAGACCGGAACATAATTCGAACTTGATCTGTAACTTGTCATGATAAACTATATACCAATCATTAAATCAATATCTTCAAGCATGACAAAAAAAAGTGCGGACAACTGATTATTTGAGTGAATTTTCTATGTTCAAGGACCATAACTCTGCACAAAATCGTCAGACCGGAACATAATTCGAACTTGATCTGTAACTTGTCTTGATAAAACAATACATCAAATATAAAATCAATATCTTCAAGCACGAAGGAAAAAAGTGAGGAAAACTGATTTGCCGGACTGACGGATAGACAGACAGACAGACAGACGGAGTGCAAACCTAAAGTCCCCTTCGACTTCGTCGATAGGGGACTAATAAATATGTATATTCGAAATCTGCTTTGTAAAACCAGTGCTTAGGAAGAACTTCGTGACAGAATTTATCTGTGTCTCAAAAGAAAAGAAATACTTGGCATGATTAAAGTTGTATCCTGTCAAGTACTACAGACAAAATTTTACATAACAATGCATTGCATACAAGATAATTATCATCACTTGAAATTAACCTGTTAATATCGAAAATCCTTTTTTCCTGTTTACAAGCTTAACTAAGGAATACGTATAATGACATTAACCCCACCCAACAAGTTCTGATAATGACTGTCTCTTTTCTTGGTAAAAAGTAAAATAACAAAAATACCGAACTCCCAGGAAAACTCAAAACGAAAAGTCCCTAATCAAATGACAAAATCAAAAGCTCAAATACATCAAACGAATGGATAACAACTGTCATAATCCTGACTTTGTACAGGCATTTTCTTATGTAGAAAATGGTTGGTTAAACCTGGTTTGTAGCTAGCTAAATCTCTCACTTGTATCACAGTCGCATACTATTCCATTATATTGACAACAATGTGTGAACAAAACAAACAGACGTAATAAGTAAGAAATTCGTCTTAGATCTATTGGCTACACAACGCACGCTTCCTGACAAAAATGATCGGTGTTTCAATGTCAGTGTCATACTCAATTTAGCTATAAACCCATTATGCGTGTCCTTGGTGTACCCATGATTGTTCTTTCATGTATTATTCCCTGCTATGTTCAGAAATTTTTGGAAAAAATTATCTACTGCCATGTTTACACTATTACATCAACTGCGTTAATGACCAAAGAAGTGTACATAAACACCTGGGATATATAGCTATGACAACTTTTTAAAACAATTGACCCCAAATTAATTAGCCGTTGCAAAGTGTTCAAGAACAGTTAAATGTGAAATAAAAATAAAAAGATGCAATTCCCAATGCCATAATTCACTTACCAGCTTAAACGAATGATAAATATTTTTTTTTTGTATTTTGTAAATAAGGTGTACTATGTGGTCATTTAATAACAATTCTATAATGTGTATCAATGCTTTTTGCATCAAACTCCATATAATAAATTTTTGAACAAGTTATAAGTGAATTTTGTCAAATTTTGTACAAATTATAATTTGTACAGGTACTTAAATTTTTGTTCAGAATAAAATTTGTACAAATTCAAAATACAAATTATAATTTGTACAATTCTTTTGTACAAATTATAATTTGTACAAAATGATAACTTGTACACAACATATATACAGCTATGTATTACTGTATGCTGTAAAAATAAATCATAGTCGCAAAGGAATACATTCGCCATTGTTTTAATGATATAAATATTTGACTACAAGA